TTCAATTGGTGCCACAAGTGTCTACTCATATGATGGCTGCGTGTGTCATTTCAACACAAAGTTTCATTTTGAGGACATGTTGAACTTGTTTTGAAGGCAGAGTGTTATTCTGCATGTAACAGTTTGTGTGTGTGTCTTTGTGGCTTGTGTGTAGAGTTTTGAGAAAAGCAGGTCTTCCTCCAAAAAACGTGTTTAAGCAATAGAGAAATACTGTAAGTTTTAGTTTGTCTTTGCATGTGAGAGCTGTTGCTTGTTTGTAACCTGTCTGAGATATAGGTGTGAACCACTTCCTCAGAATGAGCTCAACATATAAAACATTTGATATCTGACATGTTTTTCAACCAGTAAAAGTTGCCCTAGTTATGTTGCTGATGTGACTTTCAGGTTGCTGACATGCTATTTGTATTTCAGTCACAGGGACCGATCATGAGCATGTCAGTCTTTGGGTCGGGTTGTGCTAGATTCAAAATAGTTTGTAGGACATGTTGTTTGACCACAGTATTGTTTATCATTGTTCTGAACAATCACACTTGAAGTGAAATGTATTAGCGTTTAAATATGGAGACAGCAGTGCACATTTTCAGGTTGTCTCCCCTGAAACACATTCAAAGTGTCAGTTCACATAAAAAGTGACAAAAAAGCTAATTTTCACACATTTCATTCCCTCATCTCAGGCCCTCTGGAAAGCTGCCCGGCCATTTACTTCTAATTTTTCCCAGTGGCCACACGTGGTATTGCAGTGCAAAAAACTCCCACAGGCCAAAAAGCATTTGCTTCATAGGCCACCAATATGAAAGAGACGTCTGTAAAACTGTTGACAGACATCTCCAACAGCAAACAAGGTCAATAATGACTCTTTCTATCCTGAGTTTTTGATCCATGGAGATTTTATATTTGTGAAACTTTCCTTGAGCTGAGAAAAGTGATTTAAAAGCCTGTGACATCATTACAACAGGCATGTGCACAGACAGTGCTCAGGCATCTGCCCTCTGACTAGATCAGTGCCCTTTCTGCAAGACTAATATATATTTTGAATTTCTTTTAATGATTTTATATTTTAGTTTTAAATTAAATTTAAATTTGGCCCATGACATAGGGCTGTGCACCATGGACAAAAATGAATATCTTGGTATTTTCAGGCTGAATGGTAACACACGATATATGTCCTGGTATTTTCTATGAAGTGGACTACATGTTCAGTTTCAAGCTGATCCACAGCTGAAGTTGATTTTGCTGCATGAGTTTTTCCATCACAGGTAAAAGAAGTTTACCTGTTGGAGGTGAGCTGTTAGTCTGCAGCTCTTCATCATCATCTCACTGTGGCCGTTTGTGATTTAACTCTTCCCCCCTGCCGTATAATTGCACTTGACTTAATTGAAGAAATGCAGCTGATAAAGTTTTGCTAATTCGGTAATAAATATATTTTAATTCCTATAAAGTCCCCTGTTATTTTGTTAAGTAAAAACTTTTATTGTGAAGCAGAAAAATAAGGAAAGGTTGAGTTTTCGAGCAGAAACTTCACACAACTTCTAAAACGGCTGATAGCGAGCATAAATGGTAAAATAAATCAGATATCTAAAGTAAAAAGAGGACGCAGGAGAGAAACTAAACTCCAAACCACAGAGATTCAGTCAGAAGCTACAGACGTACTGAGAGCTGAACACACAGAGACTTTTAAGAAAGCCTTTCTCTCTGGTCTGCTGCAGACAGAGGGGAGGAGAGTCTCACAACACACACGGGTGTTCGCTGCAGTTGACTAGATGCCACGGCTACCCGCTTGAGGGCGGGCGGCCCGGCTTTTGGACCTAATCCGGAGAAGGAGTAGATGCACAGCTTGGCGTGGCACAGTGCGTCTAAACTGATAAAGGAAACACAAATCAGAGCTTGACTGGACGCAGCTAAAAATATCCAGAGGAAAAGGCCCACAGTATTGTACATGTGCTACTGCAGTAACTTCATCCATCTCACAGACTGATGTCTCTTAGCTCGTGCAACACACAGACCAATGTCTCACTGTAGACTAATGAACAGACAGATTAAACAGAGGAGCAGCTCTGTGTCTCTCTGAATGTTGATGGAGAAACTGTGAGTGAGTGAGGGGGCGGAGCTATGTGATGCAACTTGACCCTATATCGATATAAACGGTATTGTCTAAATTTATATCTTGCTTGAAAATATATCGATATATTGTTAAAAAAATGATATACCATCCAGCCCTACCATGGCATTAACTCTCAATGAAACATTTTCTTTTTCCTTTGTTTTTTTTTGGCACCAGCACTTCATGTGAAAAAATATGTGGAAGGGGTGCCCTTTTTCCACTCGAGCACCTGCCCTGCATATTTTCTGTGCACGGCACTGCATCACAAAGTAAAGTTTATGAGCTAAGAGGGAACTCACGGGCGGGGCATGCGGGAGAAACACTACTGCACATATTCAGCGGGCCACATACAGCAGGAGATTACACAGAGACTAGAACGTTTTTTGTTGTACGCGCCAGGCGAACAATTTCATTGGAATGAATAGGTGGTTATTATTATAAATTGATGCTGCAACTACATAATGTGTCGTTAAGACTTTGTGTCCATTACTCGTATTTGAGACTAGAGTGGCACAACAGCGCTTTGTGCTACATGCTAGCATGCGCACAGTGACAATGTTAACCTGCTGATGTTTACCATGTTTAAACGTTAACATGTGATTATCAGCAGTAAACATAAGTGGCTGCATTTATACAGAGCTTATATCCAAAACCACATGTTTCAGCTTCATGGTGGCACAAGAGGAAAAGTCAGGGGATCACCACAGTCAGTAAGCTTCACCCTCTGGGGACAATGAATGTCTGTACAACATTTAATTGAAATTCATCAGGTAGCTGTAGAAATATTTTATGGACTGGACTGAAATGGTGGACTCTCTAATACAAGCAAGCAGGACTTGCAGGCGAGATGATTTTACTGTAGAGCCAAAAACAAAAGGAAAAGAAGACAAAAAGAGTGTTATCAACAGACGGACGGTGAATAAGGTCATTATCTTCTCTCAGGGAGGAGCAGCCCTCAGATGGCCCAATCACAGAGCAGATTTCAGGCTTCTAACGCTGATTGTGTCTGTGGTTTCTATTTGTCTCACTCACTTACGCACAGGATTTCACAGAAGCACAAACGCTGAAAACAGGATGTGGACTAACACTGCTGACTCCAGTTATGCCAGATCACATCAAAGGATTCAGTTTTTTTCACAGAAACTTCATGCTGATAAAAAATAATGGAGAGACGCATGCAGCAGTGAAACAGACAGCAGCGAAGCACACAAAATCAAGATTTTTATTTTTGCTAAAACTTCATTGAAATTTGGCTCCTTTGAAGAAAGTCTTAAGTGCAGACAATCACAAATATAAAACTCATATTTAAACACCTGTTGCGCAACAACCACCTCCACAAGGTTTTCCTCTTTACTGGAATCCCACACATTTCTCGTAGTGTGCTTTGCCTCCATGGCGAGCTGCTAACCGTCTGTTTGTTTGGGTTTAGCGCTGATCAGTGCGTCATTTCATGCTGCATTTCTATTGGTTAGTTAGTAGACTACGTGGTAACAGCAGTCACACAGTCATCCTAAATTTCTGACACAGTCAGAATTTTATCCCAGGCCGTCTTTGATTCCAGACCGTAACAACAGCCATCCTAGAACCTCCCTGACTGTGCGACGTCAAATCGGTCTCACTCTGTCATTAAAAACCGGTGCTTGGGCAGTGACTTCTGGTGTTAGACACTGACAACAAAGCCGTCCAATTTGGTGCCTGATGGCATCAGGGGAAAATGTGGCGGGACAACAATGACAGTTAAGGCAGAGAAAATCTAAGTAGAAGTAGTCCACTGTAGAAACATAGGGGTTAAACATGACACTCTCCGTAGACAAGGACCTGCTCCCTTGGCCTGGCCTCACTCCAGTCATTGATCTGGCACTTGGTCAGTAACTGCTGGCGTCAGACACAGACGAAAAAAGCTGTCCTTTCACATCAGCACGATACGTGGCTGGTTGTCATTGTTCAATAGTGCCCAGCAGCATCAGGTGGAAAAATGGCAGGATAACAATGTACGTTAAGTCGGCGAGAGTCCCAGTAGGGCGGGTGGGAGGGGTGATGGATGGATCCAACAACCACCAACTTTCATCCAGGAGGCCAGTGTTTGCTTCCTGTGAGATTGTAAAGCCAGACCCTGTTCTTTTTTCCTAAACTCAACCGCATGTGTGTGTTGGTGAAAGTGTATTTTGAAAACAGACAATGCATGTAACAGGCTGAAGTTGACACGGCGTCCCAGAACGTCAACAACCAACACACCCAGGGTACCTAGGACGCCATATGTGGACGTGGAAAGTCCATGACCAAACGTGGACATGTGACGAGGTCACAGTGAGGATGGGTTGGCTCTCTGTGTAGATATAAACAGCCCATTCTGAGGTAACAAAAGCCCAGCAATGCGTATTTGTGATTTTACACTAGAGAAAACATACTTTATTACATTATATTCCTTTTCTGCAAGTGTATCCCCATAAATCCTACACTGGAGACCACTGAAGCCAGGACTCATGGTGTCTGGTATTGTTGGGAATAGACACACATCATCAAAGTATCTTAACTGTTACAGAATTCCATGAAAAACAGCTCCTGTGAGTTGTTAAACATCGTTTCCCTCCCCAAAAAATGTCTGTATACAACTAACTCTGATACAAAAAATCATAAACTGAAGTTTTGCTCCTAATTTTTAAATTTTAAAATGTTCCACTGAATGAAGGAAATATAACATTTCCTGCTGTACAGGAAATTGGGTAGTTAAAATTTCCTGTTGACCTGTAAAAAAAAACCTATAAAAAATTGTAGGTATTGCATGACAAGCTACAGGAAAGAGTCCCGCCCACAGAAACTACACAAACAACAGTTTGACTGACAGCTGATAAGAGTCATCACTGCACTGTGGAAATACAGAATGTGGTGAGATCAGCACCAAGTCCAACCTCAGAAACCTGCCCTTTTCCTGTTTAATAAAGAGCTCAGCATCACAGTGAGGTGTTTGTGATGTTGCCTGGTGTCTCTGTGCTTCGGTCGTTTTCCAGTTTTCATCACAGAGCGAGAAGGAGCAGAGTGGCTGAGATGACAGCTCACAGCTTCAACATCTTCATCGTCTTCACACTTTGTCTGAGCTTCAGCTTCCACCCAAGCCATGGTAGGACTCTCAACTCCACCATCTACTGTCTGTAGGAATTTACAGAGTTGGTTTATTTTAAACTTTTAATTCTTATATTGTCATTTGTTGTTTTGTCATAACAATGCAGATAGTAATTCACCAAACCATCCAATGACACCATGTTTCACATGAGCTTTTTCTTTACATAAGCTGAGATGCCTCTACATTTGTTGTAGTGAAATAATTAGTGTCAGCAGTCACAGACCGTAGGGGAGACAAGGGGGAATTGTAACATCTCAAATTGCACCAATCAGAGATGAGACAGAACCATGAAAGTCATTATGTTCTGCGATGATCTGTCTCTGATTCGACTGACATGTTTTTCAAAGGAGAGGTTGATGCTGAAAATAACTCAGAGGTTCTGTATGTGTGGGGAGGAATGCAGAGTGGAATTATCACTGGTGAGGGAGAAGTCGCGAGAGGTTTTGGTGAGGGATTTGGGACAGATGATGATCATGTCAGATTTTTCACAGTTCAGTACGAGACAGTTGGCTTGCATCCAGGATTTGATTTCATTGAGACAGGTGGTCAGAGTGGGGTGAGTTTCAGTAGTGATGCATTTAGTGGAGATGAAGAGCTCGACATCATTGGCGAATGATGTTACCAAGGGGAGCACATAGAGGATGAATAGGAGAGGACCAAGCATCCAACCCTCAGGGACGCCTGGGACAAAGGAGCAAGGGACAAAGTGCAATTGTTGATGTTCATGAACAGATGTTGATTTGTGAGGTATGACCTTAGCCAGTAGAGGGCAGCACTGGTGATATTGATGGAGGATTCAATGCTGAGGAGGACAGGCGGGAGAGGAAAAATGTGTGGTTGATGGTATCAAAGGCTGCTGTACGGTGACTAGAGTTAAAGGTGAGGAGGAGGTCATTGGTGACATTTGATGTAAAAACAATTAATGCCTGTCAACAAGAAAAAGATACAAGTTACCTACATAATAAATGTGTCCATATAACTCAAGAGGTTTTTGGGGAATGACATCAAAGCCAAAAAATGTTACAGTTACCCTGGTCTCCACGATATTAACATACTGAAGAAAGAAAGAATCTGCACCATCTATCAGAAGGAAAGAGGAGCTGCTTGAAAACACTGACTTTTAAAATGAAATCTGAAACAATATTCTGATGACAATGACCAAACAAAAGAAGTTGGATAACAGGGAAAAAACTTGACGTGTTTTCCAACAGTAGCGGAATCTTTTTTATTCGTCAGGTTTTGAGGTGTTTCAGCCAAAGAGTCGGGCTGTGAACCCAGACGGGTCGACCTCTGTCAGCTGTGAACATAACGCAAACGTCACCTCTGTCAAAGATGTTCGACTCAACGCCATATCGACGTAAGTATCGTGATGTCATTAAATTGGTTATATTTCAGATCCCTCAGCTGGAGTGTTTTATTTTGAAGAGAAAACATATTACAAGAATAGTACATTTAATGTTTCAGTTGCAGCATGAAATGCTTTAATCCTCTGCGACCCATATGGACCAATGTTTGTCAGTTGTTTGGAGTGAATAAGGGATCTCTTGGGGGAGACAGTAGGTCAACAGTATATGCCACAGAGAGGAGGTATACATCTTCTAAAAGCTGGGCATCTGATGATTAATTTGAGGTGCAGCTCAACACTGTCAAGTTTTTCTAGTCATAAATCTGTAATAAACATTTTGTTTTTGGTAGATGCCTATTCAATATTTAAAGGTTTACAGTGTATAAGGGCTTAGAACAGTCTGACAGAAGTATATAATGACCATTCCCATGCTCCTTTATGTCTCATAAGTTGTTTAAGCAATTTTGGGGTTGATGTCATTTGTTACACAGTTTGAGTAGCCTACTAAATTTAAGCAAGTTTCATCATTCAAGACTCAAACTCCCTCCAATATACCACATCAACACACCAAGGCCACCATGAAAAACCCCATGCTTTGATTTGGTATGAAAAACTTTTGATATTTGGATTTTTGGATGATGAGCACTGCTGTTCTAGAAACTGCTGAGAAACCCCAGTATCATCACTCCACTTTTTAAACTCAGCCAAACAGCAAGATGCCAAGTAGGCAGATGTTAATATCTGTATTTGTGAGGTGGTTTGACCTGCGGGAAATTCCATTTCATGCCAAATCAGATCCTAAAACTGAAATCTATCACTTTATCTGCATAAACACATCAAACAATTCTGTGCAAATTTGAAACCACTAAGTTACTGAAGAGGTGTGAGGACAAACAAACTAAACAGTGACTGTCTTTGTGTAAACCATAATAAAGTGTTAGCAGGCACCAAGGAGGTAGGTTTGGTTTCAAAAGTGACACAATGACATGAATAAACAAATACAAAGGGCCAGTGACATGACATGCAATTTTGATGTCCAAACCCCTTCTTTAAGTCAACATTAGGAAAATGTTTACAAAAGGGAAAAACAACAACAACACATGAATTGCAGCTATTAATCTCTCTTTATCAAATGTTTTGAAAATGTATTAAGGGTATTTCAAAGTTTTAGAATTATTAGAAATTTTAGTCACAAAATATAGAGGAGAACTGTCCAGACCTCATGGTGAAATGCAGAAAAGATAAGAGGTGATAAAAATCAAATAAAACTAAACATTACCACCACAGGCATTATTATATGAGTGTTGCCAACGATATATTTAAATATTACAAAAATTATGACATATGATTAATAACATATTATAAATATTATGATTGTTATGCACTGGGACGTTTTGACCCGAAACTAGCCGTGAACCAAGCTAACAAGCAATCTGGAGCAATTTTCTGGGGCATTTAGTTTTGACATGTTATCAGACAGGATGTTACACAATCAGGAAGACCCTGAAAGAACCCCAAACAAAGGAGAGAGCTTAAAAGTCTCCTAAAATGGGTTTAATTTGCCTTTTTCCCTAACTGGTGCATTATGGAGTAAAATCCTTTTTCATTTGGGACAGTGCTAGGACGACTACGACTACGCCACGATTTCTGGCTCGGTCTGTGTTTTGTTTTTTTTTTTAAGATTTTTTTTTTGGGGGGGGGGGGGGGGGGGGGGGGGGGGGTTAATGGATAGGACAGACAAGTGTGAAGGGGGGAGAGAGAGAGGGAGAGACATGCAGCCAAGGGCCACAGGCTGGAGTCAAACCCGGGCTGCCCCATGTACAAGGCAACAGCCTTGTACATGGGGCGCCTGCTCTACCACTAAGCCACCGATGCCCCAGTGGTCTGTGGTTTTTAACATTGACAACTGAAGCTCAGTGCTGACTTTTAATCGTTCCTCTGTGGCTCCAAAAACTATTGCCTCAGTTTTGTCTTTGTTTAATTGAAGAAAATAATAATTGGCACATCCAACTGTTGATTTGTTCGACACACTTAGTCAGAGCTTGTATTGGACCATAGTCCCCTGGTGAAATGGGTATCAATTCAATTTTTTCAATTTTATTTATAAAGCCCAATATCACAAATCACAATTTGCCTCACAGGGCTTTACAGCATACAACATCCCTCTGTCCTTATGACCCTCACAGCGGATCAGGAAAAACTCCCCCAAAAAACCCTTTAATGGGGAAAACAAAATGGTAGAAACCTCAATATGTAAATTTGTGTGTCATCTCAATAATTATGGCACAATATTTTGTTCAATTTTCATCCACTTATCTGGGGCTGGGTTGTGAAAGGCAGGCTGAGTACAAAGTACTCCTGCTGTCCAGCTCCTCTGGGATCCCGAGGCGTTCCCAGGAGGATCATATATACTGTACATATTTTCTTGTTTCCCATAATCTGAGCCAATAGAAGCATGTAGATGTTCAACAGAAGAGGCCCATGATTGGAGCCTTGGGGAACTTCACGTCATTTTTGTCCACTTAGAAGTATAATTACCTATAGACACAAAGTACTCCCTATCCATAAAGTAGGGATTGAACCAGTTGAGAGATGTGCCAGAAAGTTTCACTCAGTTTTCCAGTCAATCTGGTAATATGTTGTGGTTGACCGTGTAAAACGCAGCACTGAAATCCAGTATACTGAAATTAAAGACTAATGAGTAAAGGCTTGCTCTTGGTTGTACTCTGTATATGTCTTTGTTTAATCTCAGAACATACAAACCTCGACTGCTCTGCCAGAAGGGGAAGAAAGACTGTAAGAACATCGTCATGCATCAAGTGAATCTCAAAAGGTGGCTTTTCATCCTACTTGATGTCGGGCCAGAGGCCATGAAAATAACATACCAGTGTGAGTTCACTGTGATAATAGATGAGCTAGAGCACACCAAGGAGGGAACACCAACTAGACTACTGCCAGGTATGTTTGACCCTATTGATGATTTGTAGTGCCTCTGCAAATACAAAGCAATGAAAAAGTAAAGTCAAATACAATAAGTATGTTTATATGTACCTCATTTTATAACCTATATACAGTTACTGTATCAAAAAGTCATTTATCCTTTTGTGTTTGACAATTGACTGAATATTCTTGTAGCTCAGAATTAAATGTTAAAGCAAGCTACATTAGCACTTTTTGCATTTATTTCAATCTTGACTTTTCAAATACTCTGGAGTATACAGGAAATTGCCTCACTATGTTTTATTAGGTCAAAAGGAAGGACCCTACACATTTGAACCTTCTCCTTCACCTCGTCCTCCTCCTCCTCGTCCACCTCCTTGTCTTCAGTTTCATCAGCTCAGGTGGATTCTGATTGGTCTGCTGGCTCTGATGTTCCTGTATAGCTGCATCATCACCTGCTTCTACATCAGACTGAGGGTGACTGTCTTTCTATCTGTTTGGCTTCTCGTCCGTTTCTCTTACATGTCAATGTTTTTCAACCTGGGCCCTATTTACTCATGTTTTTGTGTCTAACTAACTGATGGGAAAGATTTGTCAAACTGGTCCATGATGAGTGTGAGGGCTGCAGCCGGCAGTGCTGAAACAGGTGGCAATGTAATGTTAATGGGCAACTGAGCAACGTCAATATACGTCCACTGACAGTGTTTGTTTTTGCCACTGACAGACTCAAATCATTATTTTTAGTGTTTGACAACTTTATAGACAAGATTTCTGCAGAGGCAGACATCCAAGAGTACGATGCTTTTTGTTTGACTGAAAGCGCTGAAATTGCCACCGCCAAACCCACCAGACTCCAACACATACATGCTGCCTCTATACAAGCTAAAATGACTGTTCATTTAAATGGTGATGGTGATTTAAGGGCTGTTACTGGATAAACAAAAAGGAACTTACTCTTATACAAAAAGCTCTATCTCTGTAGGGATCCTTTACATATTGTTTCAAACACTTAGAATAACAATCTGAGCCTTTAGTGGACATAAAGTAAAGATGCACAATTGCCCCCAGTGATTATTTTGCTTTTTGTTTTGCCGCTGACAGCTGTAGCCCTCTCACTCAACAATGGACCAAATTAAAAAACTGTTGCCACCATCAGTCATTTAGACACGAAACCACAAGACAATGGGGTTCAAGTTGGAAAATACCAATGTTACTCTTCAATAAACTCAGGGCAATAACTTGTGCGAGGATAGTGGCACTCCAAAACACAAAATCTCAATAGTGTGACCTCTTTTTACCACATTATTTTCATAGATCGGTGCAATTCGTTAGACGAGTCTTCATCAGAGCCTGATCTCAGGGCAATAACTTATGCGGTAGGATAGCATCGCACTAAAATATAAATACTATGACATCAGTTTACCACATTTTGGCAGACAAGACGTCTTTAGACAGCAAAAAGAAATGCATGGAGTGCTGCAGGGGTCTTCAAAAAGTGTGAAAATGGTCAACCTCTGGTGCTCTTCAGTGCAGGAATCTCAGTCTTGACATTTTCAAAAAGAAGAATCTGAGGCACTCAGAGGGACCAATCTATCTACCCCACCTAATGATTCTGTCTTCTTTAGTCTTCTTCAGACTTCTTAGAGGGCTTAGGCCTTTTTTTAAAGAGAAGTTCAATAATCTGGGAGCCAAAATGAAACAAAATTTCTAAAATCGTTTACGCTCTGACTTCTACTATCTCAGGTTATTTGATTTTCCTATCTAGTCTAGTTTGTTTGGGACTAAACTATGCGAGCTATAGCTACAACTCTTATTCGGAAATCTCCTATGAAGATGTCTGCATATTAGAGGTTAGAGGAACAGTGGTGGTTGTCTGTATCATTCTGTTGGGAATATTACCTCTATCTCCAGCACTGTTGGAGGCACTCATTGAGCTAAGTATTATTAAGAAAACTCTAACATACATGTTACTTTTCTGTTTCCCTGTTTCAGAGCAGCGACACAGATCCTGAAAACTCCGTCTACGTTGAAATGAGGAAAGCGCCTCGGCAAATGAATTCACCTTTTGACATTTATTGTGGGTAGCTGACTCACTCTTCTTCACCACTGGCAATATGCTGAATGTAATGAGAGGGAAAACACTGCTGTTGTTGCAGCTGGTATCAAAGCCTTGCTTTTGGATATCTTTCGTTTGTAAATGAGTTTAAAACTGCTGTAGTACTGAAGATGAACAGCAGGGTGAGACAAAGACTCTCTAAAGCACCCATGAATTCTGACATTGTACAAGTGTTCATCTCTACTGTATGCAGTGTGGCACCAGGACATTATCCATTAAGTTGTTGTATGTATATGGATATATATATATAATTTATTATGAATTTTTTTTAATCAATGCTTTTAAAATCCCGGTTAATGGGAGTTTTCTAATGCTTTCACTGAGTGAATTCATGTATATGCTCACAAATTAATCTATGTGACTGTTTGGGTTCAACTTTGTTGAACTGTGACAGTGTTCTCCCTGGAAATACTTTCTATTGAATGAAATGGTGAACAAAATGCCACAGGAAAATGAACAGAAGAGTAGAGAGAAGCTGCAGGAGCTATAGTGGCCCTGCAAGTCACTGTCATCAAGTTTTGGGCCACCACCTGTTTCCTGTGAATGAGTGAGCGTCACTTTGTGTGAATTTCACCTTGCAATATCGAGGAATATACAATTAAATTGACAAAAAAATTATTTGGACATAAATAATGGTTATCTTTTAACATTTCAGTTTTCATTTATCAGTTTTGTAAAACTAAAGTGATTCTTATATTCTCCAATCTTAAAAAATGTGTAGCTGTATTGTGAAAAAAACAAAACAAACCAAAACTAAAATGCACTTGTATGTCTACAGTCTGTTTGTTGAACCTTTATAGCGACAACTCATCTTGAGTCTGTAGTTAGGCTAGCTATGCTTCGAAATCTAAAAATGGAAAAGTCTCAATAATAATAATAATAATAAGTACTTTATTTATATAGCATCTTTAACCCTTTGCAACCTTGATAGACAACTGTTTTCTCGGGCTGTATTCGGGCGCCTTTCACAAGAATTTAAACCTTTGAAACCTGAGCAAACTGTTTTGATTTATTTTGAAAATGTCTTGAAAGGAATTAGGTCAATTTGCTCAGGTTTTAAAGGGCTAAAAACAGAGTTGCCACTGCACTGAGGAAAGAGGACATGAGGACAGAGAGTCAGGGAAGGAAATATAAAATGACTTGAAAAACTGCTCCTTATTATTCCAACCCAAACCGTCCTTTTCTGATGATACCTGAAAACCACATTGCTTTTTTTGCACTATAAATGATAACTTAACTCAGTTTTCTTCATTTCTCCTGTAAATGTAATGTACTTTATTTTATACTGTCTAATTTGCATTCCTTTTTTGTAACCACAATGTTCATGCACATGCACATTACAATGTTTATTTAGTGGCCTTGTATTTATTTTTTTCTTTATTATTATGCATTTTTACTTGCCGCTGGTCGTCCCAGGAGAAAGTTTGGTGGGCTTCTGTCTCATGTCTAGCAGCACTCTTCTGGTATGAAGGGCATGACTGGAGATGCTTTGATCCACTCCAGAGGAAAAAGGGAAGTCATGGACAAATCAATGCCATTACTCATCCCTCAGTGGACGAGCCTCCTCTTGACTTGAAGGTGCTTCAAGGTGGGAAAGAGAGTAAGACAAGTTTGGGTGCAGCCCAACGTGGCCCAGATTTTGAATATACTTCAATAAAACAGTTAGGGGAAGGTAGACAGATAATACATAAAGAAATCCATAATTATTGGAAATGAAGATGGACTCTCCAGCCCTCTCTGCTGCTGTTGGCCACAATAGTTATTGTATACACCATCACATGTATTGTTATCTTATATGCTTGGTCCTGATGTCTGACTGTATCTTTCCTTTCTGTCACCTTTTATTTTGTCACATTACATTTTATCAATAAAATGATAAAGCACAACCTCGTCCTTTCCTAATTGAAAGCTAACACATATGTAAACATGACAGCCATAACTAAAAGACACTGATTTGAAGTCTAAAGCATAGAATACATGCATGTACAGCTTCTTTTTCAGTTTCTGTCTTTCAAAAGGCGGGTATGGGTAAAAGCATACTGTATGGTCTGTTAAACTACCATAAAACTTCAATTAATAGCCCGGGCTATTATTTATTTGAATGACTGAAATCAACAGGCTTATATTTTGGACATGCCTTTCATTCCTTCCACACAAAATTGTTGCTCAGCAAATATCAGGAAATACAATCAAACTGGTAATTTAACCCAGTATAAATATTACTTGTTCAGAAATTAGGCTTCAGATAAAATATCAATTATGAATTATACATTTGATCTAACTCCGACAGACGGCGCATCAGAGAGAGTGCGTTACGGCACTCGGCACTCGGCACACCGACACGACATCACTTTATCCTGCTAAAACAATCCTCACAACTTAAATACATTATTATGAAAAACCCTCTTGATTCTTTTGATCTGAGGACCCTTACAGACTTAAGGAATATTGAATAACTTACAGGGTAATTGAGAAATTGGCACATCATATGAGGTAGCCACAAATGTGCTTTAATACATTCAAAGAACTTCTATAGAATAAAATGAACTGCCTGGCAACCAGAGCAGGCCCCTAATTAAGAGGGGCCTTTATTTGTCAAAATGTGTAGCTGCACCACGCAAGTAAAAGGGACTGGGCCTTTAATTTAAGTTTTATCATCATCGCCATCGCTGTGTTTTCAACAGCTTTTTAGGGACCAAACATCAGTGTTTTGTAGCGACCCATCACTGTTTTATGAGTTGAGACTGTGCACCCAAAATTGGTTATTCTTAGCAGAAACATGATCTTCCTTCTTCACCACAACCAGGTGGTGCCTAAACATATCCACACATTAACCACAGTTGAAATGTAAAGTTTCAACATATCTGCTACATAATGATGTGCAAATGTATCTTATCTGTGGTTTGCAGAAATGTACAATGCCAACATTTTTGGTGTTTGGGTTGTTAGAAAACTAGTTTGGTTTACTAAAGACACTTTAAAAAATAGTTTAAACTACTTATAAACCAGAAGGGGACTTGGACAGCACAGACCTCCACCAAGGCCAAATGCCCTCTTTTGCAGCATAAATGAAAGTGAAAAATAATATGTGGCTCTGCCCATGATTTGGACCTGCTCCAAAATGAATTTGAGTCTTCCTTGCCCCATTCTAAATACGTTCAACAAGTTTCATGTAAATCAGGCTGGTTTTTACGCAATGCCGCTGACAGAAAAGCAACAAATTGAGCAAAACATATAACCTCCTTGGCAGGAGGTTTAAATTGCCAATGTACATGTGTTACAAAATTATCACAAAATAAAATACAAAGAAAGTCACATGCCAGAAATACCACTCAACTGAGTTTATTACAAAAAGTGCCCTTGTTGCTTTTTATTTTTGTTAATAAATAGCAATAATCAATACTTAGGACTAACTGGGCTCAAAGGGGGTTCAATTACAGTAAAGAAGCAATGACACAAACACACAAAAAAGTACAAAAATCATTTCTTTCCTTTTATGGCCCAAAGCTGTTTGTAGTTTCAACAGCTAACTATACAAAAAATAGCAAAAAGAAAAAAAAAGAGTAAATTAACCACTTGAATCACTGCAAACTTGAATGTGGTCGAACCACCAGCAAACTACATTTAAATGTAATTAAAGCATTATTTAATGATAAGTAGTCAACAACCTCCAGACACTGGTGAAAGGACAGGAGCAGATTATATTGTAGCTGTAATACTGACATTGGACACCAGAGGGAAACCCTGGCAGCCTTATTTCTGTTCCATACAATGAAGACACAAAACAACATCAGCTAACAGTCATTGATTTGAGGACTTTAAACTTTTTTGTGCATTTACTCAAAATCTATTTCAACAAATAAAATATGTTGTGTATAAACCTTGACTAACCCTAACCCTTAGACTTGTTTGGCACTGTGTCAGCCTCACAGACATCAGGTTCAGTAGTAGTATATAGAGAAAAAAGATATGTCATGGGATTTAGGCAGGAGGTAGAACAGAGCATTCAGGTCATGTATTCTGAAAATAATAACAATAAAAAAGAAGATTTTCTGACCTGTGAGAGAAGGATACTAATGTGGGCAAAACTGATTATGAAAAAAAAAGGACAACACTGAAAATACTACCCACAATATTCAGACACAAATATGATTATGTGTAGCAAAAACAAAAAAAAAGAGAGAGAGTAATGAGACTTTTAGGGTAAAATGACGTCAACAGCTTCTGAGCTGCACTGACAATAGCCTACTGTCTGCAGCAGGAATTAGTCCAAAAATAGACAAACACACAAAAGTCTTCTCACAGTGATTATGTGAGATAGGATTACAAAGAACCACAAAACAACCTGTAATTACTGTCTGAAGTTCCTGTGGACTGGTGACATTACAAACATGAAAGCAAAGGTGTGGAGCTGCCTGAAGCAGAAAGAAACCATCTCATGTCATTTGTTTGAATGGAAACATTCCAGCTGTCATACTGAAAAATACAACAGGTTCACACCCCTGGCTACAGTTCTTTATTCTACCTGTTTATTTATATTTTTAAAATGATTTGTCATCATGTTTTGTACATCAAACTGCATTTCAGATACTCGTACCATGTCTTTAAACGTCATCAAGGCCTTAGAGATAAAGTTCATGCAAGGAGTGCAACGGCTCTGATGATTGCACAGATAAGTGATCTTAACCAAACAGCTTCAGAGGGGATTAAATCAGTTTTGCTACATCATCCATTATACTTTGATACCTGGAACCGGTTGGAATGGCTGTTTGTGAGTTCAAACTTAGCCTTAGTTCTGATGTAAGTACTTACCAAGTCACCAATTCAAAACATGTTGCACCCATCGATGCATAAAGAGAATTGAATACAGCGTTGGAGGCGGAGCCCCATTCATTCCCATGAAATTGCTCAGTGGCGCATAAAGATGAAAGCCGAAAAAGTTCAACTTCCCAGGTATACAATGATTTACAATTTTGAGCACAAGTGATGAGCTTGTTCTCATAAGTCAGATGAGTTAATCTGTTTGTCTCTACCTTGAACTCGCCTAAAGACTCCTGGTGATCGAGCTTTTAAGGCCGTAACACCTAAATTCTGGAATGTTCCACCTGCACCCTTATCGTCTGCTGACTTTGTGGTTTCTTCTGAAAGCCAGATTAAGGCACACCTGTTTAGACAGGTGTTTGGGTAACTTGTCTGCACAAACTCTGTATTTTCTTTATATTTTGTGTATACTTGTTGTGTCATGTGAATTTTGTTACAATCAATAACGCTGAACCCAAACACAGAATACAGACTCAGAAAGAAAGTGGTAAAAAAATTGCGTTTATTGCCAAAATAATGAATGTGACCGTAGAGGACGATCCAGAAGTTGATGGCAGGGAAGCATAACAAGGTTTGAGGGGTTTGGCTGGCTCGGAGAGTGGCAGAAGGTCAAACAGGCAGGCAGGTAAATACAGGAGTAAGTATCTACAAAAAATACACAAGCAAAAGTCTAAGTTGAGTTTACAATTCAACAGAAGTTGTTCCAGTAGACACAATGATCTGGTAAGGACTGGACAGGAGAGCCTGTGTTTTAAACTGCAGGGTTGAGCATTGGATGGTTCTCAGGTGGGCAGCAGGGAGCAAGTGAGATGACTGAATGGAATCAAGAATCCAGGAGAGTGAGGGAGTTTCCCACTCCACAGCACAGACACACAGAGAGACAGACAGGGGGAGGGGAAACAGAGGACAAGGACAAACACAGGGAAACTAGTGACACAGCCAAAGCCTTGACAAATTTTTCTTTTTTTTATTGTGCAAACATTTTTGCACTTTTAACTACATGGCTCAGGTAGTTGCTTTATCTTTTATGTTTTATTCTTGTTTGTTGTATGTTGCCCTTGTAAAGCTCTTTGTGACCTCTGTCTGTGAAAAGCACTATATGAATAAATTTTAGTTTAGTTTTTAGTTTATTTATATAGCACATTTAAAAACAACAGATGTTGACCAAAGTGCTTCACATAACACAGAAATTATCAATCAAAAAACAACAAAAACAAAGCAAAAAACACAGTCATAAATAAGAACATACAGTAAATTAGTAAAGGCATATAATATCTTGGTGACATAAAATTGTAGCACAAGCAGCGATTGGACAACCAACAAATAAAACATACAATCGAATAAACACAAGAGCCTATCTACATGATAACAATTAAAAGGCTAAAGAAAAAAGGTGAGTCTTCAGACGTGCTTTGAAGACTTCGATGGAGGGGGAAGTTTTAATATTTAGTGGCAAACTATTCCACAATTTTGGGCCGACAACTGAAAATGCACGATCACCTTTGGTTTTTAACTTGGTGCATGGAATGAGTAGCAGTGATTGGTCAGCAGATCTAAGGGGTCTGGAGGTGGAATAGGGGATGACCATATCAGAAATGTACCCTGGTGACAGTCCATGCAATGCTTTAAAAACGAATAAAAGGATCTTAAAATCAATTCTGTACTTCACTGGTAACCAGTGAAGAGAGGCCAGTACAGGGGAGATATGGTCTCTCTTCCTGGTACCAGTGAGGAGTCTTGCTGCTGCATTTTGAACCAGCTGCAGGCGTGAAAGTGTTGACTGACTGAGTCCAGTATAAAGGGAATTGCAGTAATTGATGCAAGAGGTGATTTAACTTTTGCTATTGATCTTAAGTGGTAGAAGGCAGTGCTAACAACTGAATTTATTTGTTTGTCAAATTTTAAACCAGAATCAAAGATGACACCAAGATTTCTTGCATGGGATTTTACATTTACTGACAAAGGCCCGAGGGCATCAATTATTGACGTGGGGCAGTTTGCAGGGCCGAAGATTAAGATCTCTGTTTTATTTTGGTTCAGCTGGAGGAAGCTTTTTGCCATCCAG